TTGGTATTACGGAAGAATGTTAAGAAGGCCAATTGTAGTGGCCAAAGAAATCAACAGATTCAATCTTTATCCAGTTACCGATGTCATTTTTCATAGAATTAGAAAAAAATAATTTAAAGTTACTTAGGGAAGTAAAAAAAATAGCCCAAAGACCCAAAGCAATACCAGGCAAAATAAACAAATTGGGAAGTATCACATTGCCTGAATTCAAGTTATTTGACAAGACTAGCATAATGAAGACAGGATATTACTGGTGTAAAAACAGGCATCTAGATCAACGGAACAGAATAAAAGATCCAGAAATAAAGCTACATATTTTCAGGAAACTTATCTTTGACTAACAAGACAAGAATGCACACTTGGGAGACATCACTCTTTTCGATAAATGATGAGAAAATTGGGTTGCCACATGCAGAAGAATGAAACTGGACCCCTACCTTTCACATCTCTCATATAGAAAAATAACTCAGGATGGATTAAAGACTTAGTTATAAAAAGTGGGCATATAATAATACAAGAAGTAAACTTCTGGACATTGGCTCAGAAAAGAACATATGACCAAGACATCGAAAGCACAAGCAACAAAACGTAAATTGGTTCTACAAGCAAAATAAATCATCAACATTGTCAACAGACAATTTGTATAGAGAAAATATTTGTAAACTATGCATCCATCAAGGAACTAATATGCAGTGTATACAAGAAACTCAAGCTACTCAACAACAACAAAAAATTCAATTAAAAATAGACAAAGGGCATGAATAGATGAGTTTCAAATGAAGATGTACACATGGCCAACAGACAGTGAAAACATCTTCAACATCACTAATCATCAAAATAATTAGTAACCATCACTAATCACCAGAGTAATCAAAAAACCACAATAAGATATCGTCTTACCTTCGTCAGAATGACTATGATTATAAGGGTGAAAAATCACAGCTGTTGGCAAGGATATGGAGAAAGGAGAATTCTTATACACCCTTGGTGGGAATGTAAGTTAGTACAGCTTCCATGGAAAACAGTATGATTTCTCAAAGAACTAAAACTACAACTGCATTTCCATTGAGCGGTCCTACTACTGGGTATGTCCCGGAAAAGTAGTCAATGTATCAAATGTACACCTTGAACTATATGTTTATTGTAGCAACATTCACAGTAACAAAGAGATTGGATCAACCAAAGTATGCATCAAGGAATGTCTGGAAAATCTAATTAGATATGCACAATACCACACTACTCAGTCATAACGAGTAAATGAAATCACATTTATTGTAGCAATATAGATGGAACTCAGAGTCATTTTCTTAAGCAAAATAGGCTAATACAGAAAATCAAATATAACACATTCTCACTTGTAAGTGGTTGACAAAGAATGTGTTTGCATGGATGTAGACACTGAAATAATAGACAATGACTACTTGGGAGTGTGGGAGGCAGAGGGGTTGAAAAGTGGGGTATTAATAAAAATAGTGTTTAGTTATTTGAGTGATGAATATACTAGTGTCATGAAATAAGCGATATGTAATCTGAGTAACAAAATCGAACTTGTATTTGTGCAAAAATAATTTGTTTTTAATTAACAGGTAATTTAGGGATACTGCTTTCCTATCCCTCCACTAAGAGACGACAATGACCAGTGTGGCCATAGCTGAGTGATTTAAGTATAGAGCAGTCTCCAATTCCAGAGAGAGTTACAGCTCAATACATAGGACTTTAGCATAGTTAAAAATTAGCATCCTGATCTTAGAGAGTATAAGTGGTGGCAATCAACTGGAAAACAGAAAAGTAATATAATTCTAAAATAGCTACTGTGGGGAATTGACTTTTGGGAAATAAACAGAAGTGCTATTTGGCGTAAGCTGCAGATGAGGCTTGCTGGGATGGGCTGATAGAGATGGAAGTCATGAAACTGGGGGCAGTAGGAAACGATTCTGAAGCTTGAACTTCACGATGATCACATAGCTAATTTGACTAGATGTAATGTATTAGGAAAAGAGAAGAGGCAAGAATAAATCCTAATTTGCTTAATTATTAGAAGAATAATTTACCAAGACCAAATAGAGTTGGAAGAGGAGGAACTTTGTAGTTGAAGGAGGGAAGAGGCAAAGGTAGGAGAAACCCCAGGAGAGAGTGGGAGGTTCCTGGAAAGATTGATAGACTGTTCCCTAAAGAAGGGTAGGATCAATGGTGTTAAACTGCTGAGGAGTCACAGGAGATGCAGGACTGAGAACGGATTCCTAAAATGAGTGGAATGGAGGCACTGGATGACCTTCACAGACTTGGAGTGGAACGAATAAAAGCATCTATAACGTGTGCAAGAAAAAATTGAAGGTGGACGAATGAGGAAATAATCACATACACGTTTCCAAAATTTTTGCAATAAAAATGGCAGACAAATAATATGGTAGGAAAGAAGAACTAAGAGTCAGGAAGCCCTCTGAAGAAATGGGTGATGTTTCAGCAGACATTTGCTGATAGAAATAATCTCATAAACCATAGATGTATGAATCAGGAGTCAAAAGGAACACATGCAGAAGTAAAACCCTTGATTGGACAATGTGGTTCAGAATCAAGTGGGAAGGTGAGAGATGAGGGTACAGAGACTTCACCTGCAATAATAGGAGAGAAGCCAGAGACCCAGGCTTCAGCTGAATGTGGGTTGTTCGCCTTGGTGGTGGTTATGGTGATATCATTCCATTCTGATTTTGCTGAATTTCTTAGTGAATTCTCTGAGGCTATTAGTGAGCACAGTGAGGCTATTAGTATTTTCTTATACTGAACCTTCCCTGCTTGAGAAGCAGATGTGCCAATCTCTGCAAGGTTTTTGGTATGGATGTTATCTCATTAGTCTTCATCCTCCAAAGTAGTTGTTATGATTATGCTCATTTTAGATGAGGCAAATAAAGCTCTGAGAGTAGAAGTAGCTTTTTAAGAACACGGAGATGGCAAGAAAAATTTATGTCTTAACTAAAATCTGAGAGTGTTCAAATTCTTTGCTCCTTAAAATCATGCTGCCTCCTTGATGAAATCCATTCAGGTTTCATTCAAGAATGAAGAGGAACATAGTGGGGAGAGAAGTGATCACTGTTACAATAGGGTGCATGGGATAGAGCAGGCTCTGGTGATAAGCATAGGACCATATTGATTCTCAGTTTCACAGAAATTATAAGGATTTCCTTTAGCTTCTGTATCTTTTTTGTTTTGTCGTGTTTTTTTTTTTTTGTCTTTAAGAGTATTGGAATATCAGTAAACAATATAAAAGTAATTTTAAAATTTCAATTTGTGCTATAGACATTAGGGAAGAGCAAAGCGTGGTGGCTCACCCCATAATCCCAGCTGTTTCGAGGCTGAGGTAAGCAGATCACCTGAGGTCAGGAGTTGGAGACCAGCCTGGTCAACATGATGAAACCCTATTTCTACTAAAAGTACAAAAATTAGCCAGGCATCATGGTGGGCACCTGTGTCCCAGATACTTGAAGTCTGTGCCAGGAGAATAGCATAAACCGAGGAGACACTGGTGGCAGTGAGCTGAAATCATGCCACTGTGCTCTAGCCTGGGTGAGAGAGAGAGACTCCATCTTGGAAAAAAAATGGAGGTCAGGGAAGGAGAGAAATAGTAAAACATTTCTGATGGCAGCTGGCTAAATTAGGATTAAGAATGAAGGAAGCTCCCTGAAGCATCAAGGAGAAGGGGCCCTAGATGTTTCTATAATGTGTTCTTGGTCCCAAGACTCCACATGCACAAACACTGAGAAAGAGACCACAATCAGAAATTGCAAGCTGATTATTTTATTGGTATATTAAAGGTAGAGTTATGATGACCTTGTTCCAGTGTCATGGCATTTGAAGCAATTGAATTATTTGAATCACGGATATCTTCAGATTCACTTCCTGAAAGAAACGAACAAGGAAGTTCATAGAGCAGACATGGGACGGCAGGAAATGTCTAACTCCTCACCGGAGTTACTGCCGTAGAGTACATGAGCCCACCCTCATTTTTTCTGTGTTCATCCTTTTGATGCCCTGGCACACAATGTGCTCCAAAGTGTTGCTTAGAAGATGATGAGAGAAGATCATTCTTAGGTTGTTATGATTTGTTGCTGTTGAATTTGTTCAGGAATATATTTATACAGATGGTAACTGGAACATATCCTTAGCAGTGGGAAGCTGAAACGACACTCAAGTGTCCAGTGGTGGTTTGATTACAGAAATCATGGCTCAGCCACAGGACGAAGTAGTGTAAAATTATAAAAACTAACAGAAAACCACTGAAGAAATGTACTTAATGTGGAAATCATCAAAGAAATGTATTTTTAAATGAAAAACATACATACCAGCATATAAATTACCACATTAGTTCTAAGGGGAAAATATTATAAATGTCTATATACACATAAATATTTGAAAAAAAGATGATGTAAAGAGTGGTGGATTTCTAAAAGGGTACAGGCAGGTAAGATAAGATATGCCGTCAATTTTAACTTCATATTTTTCCATCCCATTACATATTTTTGTTAACTTAATCACGTACTTATTGAAAAGTAAGTATTTATAAAATGAGACACCATGTAGCTGCCAAAAGTTCAGGGACCATTTGGCAGGAATAATGGACTAGAGAAGCTGGTGTGAGGCAGGACTGAGCAAACCATGATTAGATAACAAACTTTAAGTGATAGGTCTCTGAGTTTGTGGACAGAAACCAGAGCACCAGAGAGAGAGAACATGGTACTACTTCCTCATTGGGAACACAATTTAAGACAGGTTATTTGCAATGTTGTTTCTCAACATCAGAATTTCTTAAAGAGTTTGTTAGAAATACAGGGCCTTGTTACCCTATACTGGAATATCTGAATATAAGTCTTTAGAAATGAGGTCTAGGACAATGCAATGTCAGCGGGATTTAGTTGATTCATTGGCACAATAAAGCTGGAGAACTGCAGCACTTAGAGCCCTTGGTGAAGAATATGCTGGAATCATACCTGTCATTGAAGCCCAGATCACTGGGAAGGTGGTCCCTGGAGAGGCGGTCTCTGGGGAGGGGGTCCCTGGAGAGATCTTGGTGGTCTTCCCCCTTGAGGTGGAGGCGGTCCTGGGGGAGGCGGTCCCGGGGGAGGCGGTCCCTGGGGAGGTGGTCCCTGGAGAGATCTGGGTGGTCTTCCCTCTTGAGGAGGAGGTGGTCCCTGAGGAGGCGGTCCCTGAAGAGATCTGGGTGGTCTTCCCCCTTGAGGAGGTGGAGGTGGTCCTTGGGGAGGTGGTCCCTGGGGAGGCGGTCCTTGGGGAGGTGGTCCCTGGAGAGATCTGGGTGGTCTTCCCGCTTGAGGAGGTGGAGGCGGTCCCGGGGGAGGCAGTCCTTGGGGAGGTGGTCCCTGGGGAGGCGGTCCTTGGGGAGGTGGTCCCTGGAGAGATCTGGGTGGTCTTCCCGCTTGAGGAGGAGGTGGTCCCTGGGGAGGCAGTCCCTGAAGAGATCTGGGTGGTCTTCTCCCTTCAGGTGGTGGAGGTGGTCCCTGAGGAAGCGGGCCCTGAAGAGATCTGGGTGGTCTTCCTCCTTGAGGAGGTGGAGGTGGTCCCTGGGGCTTTCCAGCAGGAGGTGGGGGAGGCCTCTGGGGATGACCTCCTGGTGGGGGTGGTCCTTGTGGCTTTCCTGGAGGAGGTGGGGGACCTTGGGGCTTGTTGCCTTCTTGTGGAGGTGGTCTATGCGGAGGCCCATCATCCTGGCTTCCATTACCAGCAGGGGGCTTAGGTGGGCGTCCTCCAAAAGGCGGTTTCTGAGGCTTCTCATCTGAGCTCTGGTTTGAGTCTCCTCCATCTGTGTGAAGTGACACCAGAAAAGCCAAGTTCCGTGATAGAAGAACCTCCTCCCTTTATACCTCTCTATCCTTAGCACACTGTCCTCTCTCCCAGAACGTGCCTGACAACCACTAACATCCCTTTTACTCAAGGCTTTCATAGGCAGAGTTCCTTTCATCCATATCTGGCTCATGAAAAGTCTCATTTCTTTGTGTCTAGAACAAGTATGTCTATTAAAAGTTAACAAAAAAATAAAAATTTACAAAAAGATCTTTGATATGTCAGAATCCCCAGATGGGGAAAAAAAATACAAGGATGAGAAACATCAGTCAAGCAGCCAGTTATGATCCCAGCTGCCTCAATAACTTGCTGACTGAACTCCATGCCTGGGCACCTGGCCCCAAGACCCAAGTAAACAAGTATAAAGAGAGAGAAGAGAGAGAGTAAAAGCCCACACAGGATTCACCGAGTAGTGCGGCAGTTTTATCAGCTGTGATAACACAGCTGAGTGGGGAAACACATGAAAATGGGACCCAGACAATAATTTCTTTGCATTTCCAGCAAAGCCATAGAACTCTGGAGTGGAACGCTGGGGGAGAAGGAAGCAGTTGAGGGGCTCTCAGCACAAGGAGGGGTCAGAATGAGGACGCTGCCCATTTGTCTGTCATTTCCCATCAGGCACTCCCGGCCTGGGGGAAGGTCAACCCACTCCTGTTGTCAGCTAAGCCAAGCATCTCTGCCATTCAGTGTGGTTGCCCTGCTCATGGCCCCAGAGTCAAGGTTGCAGGAAGATGGCCTCTATCATTGGAGCACTGACATTAATCAATTCCTGAAAGGAAAGTGTTGATAAGAAGCCACTGGGGAACTGATCAATTCCTAGGCAGAAAACGAGAGTCGAAACAGATTGAGAATGAACTGGGATTTACCTGATATTACGGAGGGAAGTTGTTCCTGGCTGACATCTAGAAGAGAAGCACAAGACGATGGGAAAAGTTACATCTGGAATCTTTCATGACTCACAGGTGTTCTACAGGGAAAAGGGACTTCTGACCACACCCCATGCATTTCCTGCGTTAACTCGTCAGCCACCATCTGTGAAGCTGCTGGAAGGGGAGGAAGGTGTAAGGGGAGGCAGGTTGTTACTACACAGAGCAACAGCCACAAACTTGACACAGAAGTGTCCCTTTTCTTCCTCCCTAGGATCCCTCAAGACTTAATACAAATGTATTTTACACATGCCAGGCACTTAAGTGTGATATTTCGGTATTGTCATGCCCTAATTCTCCTGTAAATATGTTGCTTATGTCCATATGCTTTCTCAGTAGGAGTAATCAGAAGTAATCATTTCAATACAGTCTTACCCATACCACTCCCAGCACATTGAAATACTGCATGCAGGGGAGAGAAACATGACAATGATTGGCTCTGATATTTCTATATCTCTAGGTAGACAGAGACAAGTGTTTTATCCAATTCTCTGTCTCTGCAGTTTCTCTAATGTGTGTTTACCTTCATCATCGATGCTGATCCGCCATCAGCAAGGCCACCATCAACCCTGTCCACTTACTGAGGTGAGCACAGTATCTTCACAGCTGCACTTCCCTGACTCTGTCCTGCATTCTCCACTGCATCCTTCACAGCACAGTCATATCTCTCATAAATGCAAATCTTACCTTCTCATTGCCCTGGTACACATTCTTTATTGCATCTTCATTGTACATTAAATAAATTAGAAGCCCTTGGAGTGGAATGATGACACAACAGGTCTCCTGATCCTAGGCATGAAAACTCTGCAGCCCCATCTGTGTTTTCATTCTCCTCTGTTCCTCTTAATTGCTGCTATCACCTCCTAAGCCCCAACCACAGTCACCGCATCTTCTCCCCCTTCTGTTTTACCTTCATTCAAGCTCTGAGCTGAGCCCAGGGCCAGCAGGGCCACTGACAGCAGAATCAGCAGCATCTTGCAGGAGGGTCTGGTGTTGCCCTCAACTCTGTGCTGGGAGAAATGTGGCAGCTCTCTTTATACAGAGGAGCAGAATAATGGCACCTTTGAGCTCCACACTGGATGGGCCTCACCAGGCAGAGACTGGGTTCTGCTTTGCTCACTGCAGGTCAGGTGTGTCCCCTATTTCCCTTTGGGACTGTAGCCCAAAGGGATGGATTGGGTGGATATTGTTTTGTTTGTGTCTTATTTCTAAAAGGTACAAGTATCAATTGAACAAAGGTTTTCAAGAAACTGCGTCGAGGCAATCAGCCCTGTGTCATAACTGGACTTCAGACATCATTCGTTTCAACCTTTTTGGCAAGACTATGGTCGCTTTTCACTGAACTATTTATTTCTGTGTATGTGTGTGTGGGCCATGACGCTACAGCCAGCAGTGAAGATAGTCAATATCTCTGGTTCTTTTTATAGCCTATTTCCATCTCTTGTAATGTGTGTGTACACATAGTTTCATATTTAGAGATATAAAATTCATTTTAAAAATCATTGGATACATAATTGTCTCTATATGATATTGAATGATCAAGTGTGCTTTAGTGACCACATTGCTGTCTACATCATACATTATATTTCTACAAATGCACGGCTATATGGCCAAAGATCGATGAATCATTCCTTTCTACCTTGCATGGTGATGTTTCAGATGCCTTCGCTCTTTTAATCCTTAAAATAGCACTTCGAGGATATTTTGCAATTATGTCTACTCTTCAAATGTAGAAATAAAATCTTACTGTGATTGGGTGACTTTCCCTAAAACATATACTTTACTGGTCAGAGCATAAGACAACAAAAGGAGAGAGAGACACACACACACACACACACACACACACACAGAGAGAGAGAGAGAGAGAGAGAGAGAGAGAGAGAGAGAGAGAGAGAGAGATGAGAGAATGAGCTTATTCACGAGAACAATATAAAAGACCTAGGATCAAACAGCAAGAAATACACAGGATTCAAGTGAAGAAGAATGACCAAATTTTGATGCAGAATATGCACTAAAATGCATATACATATAAATTTCTGTAGAAGAAAATGCAATCTTCAAATGGGGCCAGTTTTTCAGGTGTGCTGGTGAAAACTGACTGCACTGCCATCCTCTCTTCTAATCTCTAATTTCTGCTTTGCTGACTCACAACCTCTATTATTTTTCTATTTTTCATTCTAATTCCACAGTTTTGTTTACATTTATTGTTTACTGGCATCTCTTCTTTCATTCTCGTCATCATTGGATATTAATTTCCTTTGTGCTTCTTTACTGTAATTTTATTGGGACATTGGGAAAGAGCAGAAATCAGTCCATGGGTTCAATGCACTGTGCATTCCAATACCCTTAGTACAGAGACAAATTCCCTAACACAGTTTATAGCAGACTGTACAGCTGATCCTTTGTTTACGTTTCTTTCTATTTAAGTGTATTTAATTTACTTTAGACTGTTTAGAAACATTACCTGTGTTCCTAATTCCAGCAGAAGAATCAGCTGCTGTCTTTCCTTCCCTGGCTGCATTAAATGTAACACGACCGTGAGTTGATAATCACACTGTTGTTTTTTACAAGGTCATTGAGTAAACATAACCTGTCATTGTAACTCCAGCAGCAACTTTAAATGATAAATACATTTTTATACTCGAATAGTCTAAAAAATATAGTTTTATTTGTACAAATAACAATGTACATTATTTCAAATCTAGTACTTATCCGTATTAGAACTCCCATAGCAAATCTTTCTAAAACATAAAATCTTTTGTCTATTTTAGTAAACATAGAAGCAGAAGTTTATGAGATGATACATAAAGAGTTTGAATCAATCTTGTATTTTTCCTTACTTTATTTTTTAGCTAAACTTTTCTATGTTCACGTTATCTTGATTGCCCGAGATATGCCCTTGTACACTTTTATTGGGCAATTCATGGCTTATTTAAATAGACATCCTAACAAGATTGACATATGGCTTTTGTCAGAGTGGGATGATCTACAAAGATTATGAAGCTTCAGCTTTGGGGTCCTTCACGTGCCCAGGCCTCATCCAAGACCCTGTTTAGAGTCAACAGAATAAAAAAGATTTACAAGCTTCATGAACTTGCAGTGGTCTTCCGCAGGCCAACTCCTTTACTCAAACCTTTATATATTTTTCTCTCTTTCATTTGCCCCTGGGGATAATAAGATTTCAAGACCTTCTCCTCCTTAAAGCAAACTCCAATTGATTGAGAGATATCTGAATTTTTTTTCTGAAAAGAAGATTTGGAAATAACTGTAGAGGCAAGTTGCTAAATAATCTGATGCTTATGTCTACAAATAATAGCTATATTCCAGCACTGCTGTAAATGTCCTGTGGGATTGCAGATTGTACATGGAGGAATCTAAAGAGTGTATCTTAGTGGTGACTGAGGGCCTATTGAAATGAGGTATGGCTTTATATTCTTGCTCTTCCACTAGGCTTTTCCTCTGTAGAACATACTCCCTGCACAATGGTGCCTTCCCTTAGTGTTTGTAGTGTTTCTACCTCTCAGAAGGGAAGGAATGTTCAATGTGAGCAACGTCTTCTTTCCTTTACAACCCATGGCAGGGTCAGGAAAATTCTCATGTTTGACTATAAAAGCAAAGAGCGGCTTCATGGCCCTAATCCATTTAGGCATTTTTGCTAGTGTCCTGGACCCATCTGTTTCCACACCTCCGTATCCAGAGGTGGTGCTGACTGTGGCAATCCCCAACTTAGGGAGGTTCTTTGATGTTTAATAGGAAGAGTCATTTCCCCAGAGGTTTTACCCTTTAAATGATGACAGTCCTTCCCATTCCTTCCCTGATTTCTAGGACATATTGCTGTTGTTTATTCTGAAGAGTCCATGACTGGAACACCATGTAAGACCACTGAATTTTGTATTCTTTCTTTCTTCCTGATCTTTGGTTTTCCTTAGGAGGGATTCTGTGACAGGCTCTGGAACTCTGCCCCAATTTTGTGCCCTTCTTACCCAGGGATCATGTGTGCTTAGCTGAGTCCACTCAGGGAGAAGCGAATATGGTGGTAGCTCATGAGGACACGTCCAGTTCACCTGCCACTCTTAGGAACTTCTAAGTGTGAGTGGACCAATCTTTAATCACGTCCTTCTCAGGGAGTGTTTTTGCACTTCACTTCCATTGGCAGGATATCAGCCCTGGCAGAGTGCCTTGGCAGTTAGGAAAGGGAGGAATTTGGTGCCACAGATTCAATGGAATCCTACATTTACCAACACTATTGGAGGCTGACAAGAGAATACTAGGCATACATACGTGAAATGAATCTTAGTGAAAGTGAATCAAGCCAATTCTTTATTGCAGAAAACCCAGCACCTCCACAGGATACAGAATCCATTTCAGTACCTGTTTGTGGTTTTTATCTTCTTTCCCTCTAATATCTTAGTAGAGGTATCATACCATTCCCAATGCTGGTTTCAGTCCTCTGTAAAAGCGTTGCAAACTTACATCTTCCCCGATGCTCATATCAGCTGTGAAATCTGACATGGAGGTTAAAGACGTTCTCTTTCCTCCCTGTTGTCATGGTTGTCAGTTTAGATTATGAAGCAACTTTTTTTTAGCCGTGAGTATCTCCATGCTATCCACCAATTTCTAATAAGTTTCTAATAAGCTGTAGAACAAGGCCACCCCCAAATTACAGGAGAATGAATAATTGTAGAAAACGAGAGAAGCATGGGATGTGCCCAGCTGAGGCGTTGATCCTGGCTGAGTTGAGGGAATTGTCCAGGCTGAGAGAGGGACGTTACTAGCTGTTCTCCATTGAATGTGGGCTCCATAATTATTCATTGGAATTGCATTTTGAGAGTGGTGTTCATTGCATGCGGAGGATGCTGCTTAGTAGCCGGGTATTATTAAAAGCCATGATAATTCTATTCCTCTCTTATACTTTATACACTGCCACTAACACAAACAGGCACCGCAGAAAAGGCATGAAATGAATATGTGAAAAGTAGATTAGTTTTCCTATTGCTGCCATAACACATTATTACAAAGTGAGTCGCTTTGTAGCTCAGAAGTCACAAATGGGTCTCACTGGCTTAAATCCAGGCGGAAATGCTGATTTCCATTCTGAAGTCTCTAGGGAAGAATCCCATTTTCCCGCCCACATTCCCTGGCCCTCTTCCATCTTCAGTTTCAGCAATAGTTGCTCAAGCCTCACATCCCATCCCATCCCATCCCATCCCATCCCATCCCATCCCATCCCATCCCATTCCATCCCATCCCGTCCCATCACATCCCATCACATCCCATCACATCCCATCACATCACATCCCATCACATCACATCCCATCCCATCCCATCCCATCCCATCCCATCCCATCCCATCCCATCCCATCACATCCCATCCCATCCCATCCCATCCCATCCCATCCCATCCCATCCCATCCCATCCCATCATATCACATCACATCACATCACATCACATCCCAGCACATCACATCATCACATCTCCCTGACACTGAGTCTTCTGCCTCCCTCTTCCACATTTAAGGACCTTGTGATTACATTGGTCTATTTGGATGATCCAGGAAAGACTCCATATATTTCAGTCAGTTGAGGAGCAAATGTCATTTCCCTTTGTCATGTAAGTTAACATTGACTGGTTCTGGGAATTAGTAAGTGTGTGTCTTTGAGAGTACATTATTCTTCACAGCACACACAGAGTGGACATCTTACTCCTCTAGATCTGGTTTCGTTCAGGGCAGGTAGAGAGAGTTACCCAGGCTTCTTCCAGATATTTGCATGAGGATATTAATGAGTTCCTGGAAAATTGGTTGCAGTGAAAATATTTGTACTTCAAAGTATAGATCTATGCAGTAGTGTACGGCACACACTGAAAAGGCAGATACTTACCTTTAATAACCTTTTGCATTTAATGTAGTTGTTGACATTTTAGTCTTTTTTGTTTACTTTATATTTATAATACTTTTGATTATTTTCTCTCTAC